TACTATTTTTCAAAATTTTTAATTAATGGCAAAAAAGTTTTATAATCAGCAGTGTCTTAATGTTGGTACCTGTACAGTATTGCTATATAAGCTGCAAACTGAATTTAGAAGTTATTTATTTAACCTGCATGTAATAAGAAAGCTTGGAGCCTATGGCGCACATGCAAGCTTTTACTTATATCCTTGTGACAACAGCCAATGTATATTATATTGCTTTGCAAAAAAAAGTAATGGGGAAAAATTTTAAGAAAAGGCTTCAGGTAAAAAAAAAAAGACAATACACACCTGGTTATAATTTATCTGTGCTGTACATTCTTAAAATAAATTGAGTTAGCAAATGCATAGAATGCCCATGTTACTTGTACATTATACACAGTACGTAACAGTCTTTACTTTTTTTTAGAGGACGGAGTTAATTAATGGAGTGCAAGTGCCACTGATGCTACTTGGAGATCCTGCTTATCCTCTTCATCACTGGCTAATGAAAGGCTTCCCTGTCAGGGAAAACATTACGAGAGAACAGCGAAGGTTTAATTACAGGCTGTCTAAAGCACGGATGGTGGTTGAGAGAAGCTTTGGGATGCTGAAAGGGAGGTGGAGATTGTTGATGAAGCGTAATGACAGTGCTTTGAGAAATATCTCCCATATGGTGCTTTCATGCTGCATACTCCACAACTTCTGCATTGAAGAAGGGGAGGTGTACAACCCAGAGTGGGATAACGTGGTTGAGGACAATCCACTACAACAGCCACAACCCCAAGAACCAAGACCCCAGGCAAATCCAACCGGGAATGAGACACGTGAAGCATTAGTGGGCTACTTTCAAAATCAGTAACCTGTGCACTATTACTCGCCTTGTAGTGGTATTCTGCAAACGCTATCTAGTTACTCGCGAGAACATTTGTTGCACCTTTAGCAGACAATGGACTCTATTTTAGGTACATGTATAATGTATCATAAAATGTACATACAAAATGTATCTGTAAATATTTTTTATTTGTTTGCTGTAATCTGTATTATATTGTGAATTACACTAGTACTCTTTCAGTTTGAATTATTGTCAATAGTATGTTTTTAATAAGCTGACTTCTTTTCACACTAAAATATAATGAACATGAAAAACTATATTTAAACTATACATCAATGTTTATTCCAGATAGATACAAGTTAAAAATGAAATTATAATAACATACAATACAGCATAAAAAAAGCTACACTACCTGCCACGATGTAAAAAGGTAAAAAAAAATTAAAGTATTTCCATGTCGGTTAAAAAAAAAAAAGAAATGACATTAATCTCAAAATAAAGTAGCATATTTAAAATTAAATAACATAAATAGTTGTGTGATGAACCCAAGCAAGAATGAAATGAAATCATGAACATACTATACAGCATACAAGACGGCATAAACAACAACACTACCTACCACAGCTAAATGTACAATGTATCAAAGGTAAAATAGGAAAATTAAAATATTTTCATGTCTGCTGACAAAAAAAATTTAATGGTAAAATAAAGTGGCACATTTAAAATTAAATTAATAAAAATAATTGAGTAATGAACGAAATAAAATCATGACCATACTATGCAGCACACAAGACGGCATAAAAAAAAAAATTTGAAT